CTCCCCTTTTTTGGTTTTCCTGCCCCCCCTCTCACTGCGACTGCTTTACAGAGGAAGAAAAAGCAAGACTTATCTCTTGCCCGGACCCATCCCGGATAAAACTTCATTTAGCAGAGCCCCCAAGAAAGGGATGGGGGTGCCTTACTGTTTTAACAAGGCCAATATTTTCAAAGTACCACACCTGGACCCCTTTTAGACAGCAGAAACAAGCTTTTTTGTCACAAGACGGGCAGAAACAGCAAATTCACCCCTGTACCCTTCTCCCCGAACACACCCATCTGAGATCATAATACCAGGAGACTCGAGAGGAACACTTCGTACAGCAAAAGTGTCAAAAGATAAAGACATTTGACAAATGAAAATGCGGCCCCAGATGGCTCCAAATTTATCCTGTTCCCCATTTGTATGTCTCATAACAATAAATCTTTCAAATGATCCTAGGTACAGCTCTTAGCTTGCCAATAATTAAATCCTAACCGTAAATGCTTGCAAAGCTAGGGATCTTTAACCCGTAAAAGGCCAAACGTATATACAGTGGTCCCCCCGTTTTTCGTATTCTCGGGGGAAACATAGATTTCGGGAAAACATAGGGAAAATTTTCGTAAAAAAAAAAGGGGCTCCCCAAATTTCATGGGTTTGGGGAACTTGCAAAATATAGTTCCTCCGGGACGGGGGAAACCCCAGGGGTGTAAAGCTGGGGCCCCCCCAACCCCCTCCCCCAACCAGCCCTGGCATTTTTTAACCATGACAAAGGCTCCCCCGGGTGCCCAAACAAAAATTTTTTTCATAATTTTTCCCACTCTTTTTTTAGTGCTTGCAAGTACAAAAAAGATCCCCGGGCCCCAAAGAAAGCTCCTAGTGCCAAGTCTGGGGTAAAAAAAGGTGAGAAATACGATTGAATATAAGAAAAAAAATTCATTGAACAAATAAAGTTGCACAAGTGGGGCCCTGAACTAGCCGGGATTTTTAAAGAACCCAATACAAAACCCATTTTTTTTCCCAAACAGCCCCCAAAGAAAAAGGAAATAAAAGGGGGGTGTTTTTGAAAAGGGGGGAAACCCAGGTTAAAAAATTTAGATAAACCAAAGTACCCCAAGACTTTGAGAATTTTTTTTTGGTGTGCATAAACGGGGAAACAATTAGAAAGGAAAATACTTTTTATGCCCTTCGATTTTTTGTGAAAAGTCTAGGCGTTCAAAACGCCTGGTAAAGAAACTCCCTGTAAATAGTGGGGGAATGATTTGAATTTAAAAGGCCCCAGCAAAGGTTGGTTTGGGGAGATTTAAAAAAACCATACTGGCAAAACCAGTGTGGAAAGGCATGGTGGGGGGCGCCTTTTTCAAAAACCAAAAGGGGGGTTTTGAAAAATAGTGCATAAATTTCAAGGATTTACATAGGGGGCTAAAGGACAAAACCCTGAACAAGTGTTAAAATTGTTCAAACCCAAATTTTATTTTCTCTTAAGGTTTTCAATGTTGATTTTTACGGGAAATTTTTTTTTTATTGTGGGGTTTACATGAAAGAAAAAAAAATAATTACATAGGTAACCACAGAACACCTGCATGGCTGGGCTTTTTCGGGCAGACTTGATTAAATCTAAAATTTAAAATATTTAACAAAATTTTGAGGAAAAATTTGGCATTAGGGCCCTAAGTGACAAAAATTACTAAATTTGTGAGTTTAGCAATGTGAATGTTTTTTGTTTTGGCCCAATACATATTTCAGTTTTGGGAGTATCACAGGCCAACTTATGACTATTTAAAGTTTCAATTTTTTTTTGAGATTGAAAGGGATATTTCTGTTTATGGTCAAATGGGTGGTGATTTTTTGAAAAGTTTAACCACCAGGGGGAATTCGTTTTAATAGTTGACAGGGGTTTTAACAGGGAGATAAATGTTTTCTGAGGGTAGTTTTGTGATGAAACAGGCCTTTTTTGGAAAGAAAATCCCAAAAGAGGACCTTCATTACACAGGAGGAAAAGGCAATGCCAGGACAAAAGCCTAAAAAAACCCGGCTAAAGGGCTCATTTTTCTGGGCTAAGCTAGGGGGGGTTTTTCAAAGTGAAGCCATTACTATTGAAACCTTTTTCTAAAAATCCCAGAGGGTTCAGGAAAAACAATGTTATAAAGAAAAATTGTGTGCTTTTTGGAAATCTAATAGAAAGGGAAAGGGGTCACGGGGGAAAATTTTTCCCGCCCCGAGTTTTTCAATGAAGTTTTGGCCCTAGTGTGAAAAAATTCCCTTTCCGGGAAAAAAAAATTTTGGACCCTCAAGTGCCTGCTAATAATGGAAATGCACCTGCTCATCCTCCCAATTTTGGAGACCTAATTTTCAAGGATTTGGTTCACCCACATTAAAGTTTTTTTCCCCCCGAATACCACCCTCTCCTCCACCCCATGGACCAGCAGGTCTTTTGCAAACTTTAAAAAACTCAAACCCCAAAGAATGCTTCACAGGTGCTTGACGTGACCACAGACCTCACGGGACCCAAAGGGAATTTTTGGAGAGAACACTTCAGCATCCTCCATTCAAAACCCCTTTAAATGTAGGGCTTGGGGGGGAGGGGACTCCCGGAAATTTTTGAACTCTGCTTGGAGAAAATTGTGGCCAGATTGTGTCAACAAGGGGGAATTTTAAAGGGTTTTGGGAACGGGCCCCCGGAAGCCTAAATCTGTTTTAAACCCTTGGGGGGCCAAACGGGCCCTCCCAAAAACCCCTTTCCCAAAGGTGGGCCAAATTTTTAAAAAAAAAAAAAAAAAATTTTTTTCTCTTATGAAAAGATAAAAGAATTTTTTTTCCGGGACATAAAGAAAACCAAAATTTAAAATTTTTGATAAAAAAACTTAGGGAAATTTTATGCCCCCCCCCGCAAATTTACCGGTCCCCGGCATTTTTTACGCTTGGCGATTTTCCCCCAATTTGGCCTCTTTTTCCCCCAAATTTTTCCCTGAACTACCGCCAAAAACATAATTTTCGCTAAAAACCTCCTTTTTTTCCCTATCGAGTGGGTGCAAGAAACCACCCATTTAAAAAAATTTCCAATTTATCCATAAAAGTGGTAAAATTTAGAAATTTTTCCCAATTTTCACAAAAATTTTTTCAAAAATCCCAAATTTTTCCGGGAATAGGGCCCAGAAAAAACAAGAATACATTCCGGGCACTAAAATGACTTTTCCCTCTAGTCATTAGTCACGTCTAAAAGGCCCCTTTATATTTTTTGTTTTCCCCATTTTAAATTTTTTATTTTCACAAAAAAATAAGTTTACTGTTATGCAGACTACTGCTTTTGTGTTTAAAAAAAGGGGGAAAAATTATTGGTGCACTTGTGAAAGAATATTAGACTCCCCCCTTTTAACGTTTATTGCACGCTTGGGCCCATTTGTTTTAAATTTTGAAGTTTTTGGGAAAAATCGAACATTTTTGCTACTTTAGCTTTAATTTTAAGGCACCTTTCATTGTAAAACCAAATCAAAATCATCCAATTTTTGGAATATGTCTTTCCCTTTTCTAAAAATGAGAAAAAAGAAAACTAGAAAAACAACAATAAATACCATACGAAAAAAACAAATTGCAAAGTCCTGATTTTTTAAAAAAAAAAAGGTCAAAGTTTTTTTTTTTTTTCATTATGCACTGTGTGGGTGCAGGATTTTTTTAGACTGTGCACACGACCACAAAAGACCCATTCTTTTTTATATGAAGGCCCCCACCAGCTTTTCCCCAAATAATTTGAGGGGCCCCCTAGAATTTTGAGGGACTAGTACGCCCAAAAAACCCCCACCGTAAGACCCTACTAGCGACCAAAAAAACCCCCAAAGGGTTAAATCAATTGTTTGGGACTGGGGAAATTTCCAAGGGGGTTTAAAATGAGTTTGGGGAAGTGGAAGATTGGTGGAAGCCCCCAATGAAAAGCTCACCCTGAGGAGCCCGCAAGAGCTTCAGCAGGAAGAGCAACAGATCGCAGCTCAGAATCTTGCTTTCAAAAGGAGGAGGAAGAGAGATGGAAGAAGGGCCCTTTTTTCAAAATAAAAGAATTTTTGCTATGTGGGGTAAAGGAAAGCTTTTTTGGGGAAAAATCACCCTGACAAGGTTTTTCAAGCCAGGTTGGCAACATGTCCGTGACAAAGTCTTGGGCCATTTTAAGGGGAAATGTTAAAAAAGACCCAGAAGCCCAAAACTCTCTGGGGCAGTTATTTTGCGAGACAGGGCTCCAGTGACTCCCAAGGGTCCTAGTTTGGGATTAAAAACAGAGAAAGAAGCAACCCCAGAAAAACAATTGGACCAAGGGGGTTGCGGAAAAGGGGGTTCCCCCTTTCCAAAAATATAACCCCAACCAATCTCTCCCCCCTCCTCCAGTCTCCCATACACCCAAGAAAAAATCTCCAATAAAAAGGGAAGTGTTATGCTTTTTAAGGTTTTTATTCATCATTTCCCAATTTTATTGTTTTTGTACTACATCTATATTTCATGTAAAAAAAATTTTTTTTTTTTAAAAACCCTTCCCGGATGTCAGGAAACGATTAATTGTTTTACATTTTTTTCTTTAGGGGGAAAAAAATTTATTTGCAAATCGAGTTTTTATAATAGTAGCACCCCCCAGGGAAAGGGTTAAAATAGAAAAAAAAGAGGGACCATTATACGTTTTTCCCAAAAATTTTTAAAATAAAATTTAAAAAAGGGAGATCATCTTCTTGTTTTTTTTTTTAAATTTTAAAAAGTGAAAAAACCCTTTTATCTACTTTTTTTTTTTTTAATTTTTAAAATATGTAAAATAAACGTGATTTTACTTTTGTAGCACACCACAATTAAAAGTAGATCTGCTTGGACCGTTTATGGGGTTTAAACCCAAATTTTTTTTATAAGTATTTTTCCTTTTAAAAATCCTTTCAAGGGGTGAGTTTTCAAACATTGTTTTAATACATAACATGTCGTTTTGAGTTCTCATCGAAAAATATTACTTTGTAAACTTCTTGCTTTTCCTGTATTTAGTATGTAACTTTTGTTAACAGGTTTGAGAGCAACCTGGGAGACAGAGGCAATGTTGGAATGCGGGGAAACTATAACCGTGGAAATCGTCGTTATGACCACAATCAGAGCTATGGCAGCGGCTATGGTGGCAGGTAATTGTTAGATGTAATTTATTTTTTTTTTAAAGTTTCCGTTGGTGAGCTGTAGCTTTTAGTTGCCACTTTATGGTTGACCTACTGATGCAGAAAATTCACATTGAACCCACAACTTGGAAATAAAATTAAACGAAGATTTGGTTTATCCTGGACATTTATCAGATTGTTGGGGGGGGGGGGACAGTGGGAGAGAGTGAGAGTGAAAGAGAGTGAGAGTGAAAGAGAGTGAGAGTGAAAGAGAGTGAGAGTGAAAGAGAGTGAGAGTGAAAGAGAGTGAGAGTGAAAGTGAGAGTGAAAGAGAGTGAGAGTGAAAGAGAGTGAGAGTGAAAGAGTGAGAGTGAAAGAGAGTGAGAGTGAAAGAGAGTGAGCGAGAGAGGAGGGAGGGTGAAGACGTGTCACAGTGTGCTCCACAAACTTTCTTAATACAGTGGACCCTCGCCTAACGATGGCATCACATAACGTTAAATCCGCCTAGAGATACATTTTAACGCAAAAAATTTGCCTCGCCTAGCGCTAAAAAACTCGCTCCATGTGATTCGTCCGAGACGCGTCCATGTGCGGCCTGAGCCAGCCTCACTTGTTCCGCCGGTGGCATTGTTTACAAGCCAGCCTCCGCGGTAACATCCAAGCATACAATCGGAACATTTTGTATTATTACAGCATTTTTAGTGATTTCACCTGCAAAATAAGTGACCATGGGCCCCAAAAAAGCTTCTAGTGCCAACCCTACAGGAATAAGGGTGAGAATTACTATGGATATGAAGAAAGAGATCATTGCTAAGTATGAAAGTGGAGTGAGTGTCTCCGAGCTGGCCAGGTTGTATAGTAAACCCCAATCAACCATCGCTACTATTGTGGCCAAGAAAACGGCAATCAAGGAAGCTGTTCTTGCCAAAGGTGCAACTTTGTTTTCGAAACAGAGATCGCAAGTGATAGAAGATGTTGAGAGACTGTTATTGGTGTGGATAAACGAAAAACAGATAGCAGAAGATAGCATCTCTCAAGTGATCATAAGTGAAAAGGCTAGGAGTTGCATGACGATTTAATTAGAAAAATGCCTGCAACTAGTGATGATGTGAGTAAATTTAAGGCCAGCAAAGGTTGGTTTGAGAGATTTAAGAAGCGTAGTGGCATACATAGTGTGATAAGGCATGGTGAGGCTGCCAGTTCGGACCACAAAGCAGCTGAAAAATATGTGCAGGAATTCAAGGAGTACATAGACAGTGAAGGACTGAAACCTGAACAAGTGTTTAATTGTGACAAAACAGGCCTGTTTTGGAAGAAAATGCCAAGCAGGACCTACATTACTCAGGAGGAAAAGGCACTCCCAGGACATAAGCCTATGAAAGACAAGCTTACTCTGTTAATGTGTGCCAATGCTAGTGGTGATTGCAAAGTGAAGCCTTTATTGGTGTATCACTCTGAAACTCCCAGAGCGTTCAGGTAAAAGAATAACCTCAAGGCTAATTTGTGTGTGCTGTGGAGGGCAAACAGTAAGGCATGGATCACTAGGGACTTCTGTGACTGGTTACACCATACATTTGCCCCCACTGTGAAAAATTACCTAATTGAAAAGAAATTAGACCTTAAGTGCCTCCTGGTGTTAGACAATGCCCCTGGTCATCCTACAGACTTGGCAGCACGACTTTGTGGGGACATGAGCTTCATTAAGGTCAAGTTTTTGCCTCCTAATACCACTCCTCTCCTGCAGCCCATGGACCAGCAGGTTATTGCAAACTTCAAAAAACTGTACACAAAAGCTGTGTTTGAAAGGTGCTTTGTAGTGACCTCAGAAACTCAGTTGACTCTAAGAGAGTTTTGGAGAGATCACTTTAATATCCTCAGTTGTGTAAACCTTATAGGTAAGGCTTGGGAGGGAGTGACTAAGAGGACCTTGAACTCTGCTTGGAAGAAACTGTGGCCACAGTGTGTAGACCAAAGGGATTTTGAAGGAATTGAGGCTAACCCTGAGAAGCGTATGCCAGTTGAGGAATCAATTGTGGCATTGGGGAAGTCCTTGGGGTTGGAGGTTAGTGGGGAGGATGTGGAAGAGTTGGTGAAAGAGGACAATGAAGAACTAACCACTGATGAGCTGCTAGATCATCAACAGCAAGAAGCCACACCTGAGGAAACTGCTTCGGAGGAGGGGAGAGAGAAATTGAAGAAGTTGCCTACTTCAAAGATTAAGGAAATATGTACAAAGTGGCTTGAAGTACAAGCCTTTGTGGATGAAAATCACCCTCAGACAGCTACTGCAAGCCGTGTTGGCAACCTGTACACTGACAATGTTGTGAACCACTTTAGGAAAGTCATGAAGGAACGAGAGGTACAGACCTCTATGGACAGATATGTTGTGCGACAGAAGTCCATTGACTCTGGAGCTGGTCCTAGTGGCATTAAAAGAAGAAGGGAAGTAACCCCGGAAAAGGACTTGACACCTCAAGTCCTAATGGAAGGGGATTCCCCTTCTAAACATTAACACCATCAACACTCTCCTCCTCCCATCCCACCAGTCATCACCAGATCTTTAATAAAGGTAAGTGTCATGTAACTGTGCATGTCTTGTTCAGTTTGTGTATTAAAATTAATATTTCATGTGGTAAAAATTTTTTTTTTCATACTTTTGGGTGTCTTGCACGGATTAATTTGATTTCCATTATTTCTTATGGGGAAAATTAATTCGCCTAACGATAATTTCGCCTAACATTGAGCTCTCAGGAACGGATTAATAGCGTTATGCGAGGGTCCGCTGTATATACGTCAAACACGGTGGTTCGTAAGACGTATATATACGACCAAAACAGGCAAAGGGTTAAAATAGAACTCAAAAGGGGCAAAACTCCCAATGAATAATTTGTGCCCAAACTGTCAAATTTATGCCAGCATAATTCTGTAAATTTTCCATTAGATTTCTCATTTTTGGTGTCGTGATTCTCTATCATTACAGAAGATACTTTTTTTTTTTAACACTGTCAGTACTTTTAATTTGGGGGGTTTCAAACAATGAAAGGGTTAATTTCTGAAGCTTGTGTTGTTTTTTTTATCATTAACAGTACTACCAGTTTCCCTGTCTTCTTGTTCACTCTTGCTTTTCCACAACGAGTAGTTTTCATGACGTATAACCTCGCCCTTGTTTAAAAACTGGCTTTAAAGTTTGGTTTTAGTTTGCTACAGTAATGTTTGTTACTGTATTACACTGTTCAAAGTATAGTGGAACTTCTGGTCACGAACGCTTCCGAACACAAACAAATCAGTTCACGACCAAAAACTTCACCAAAAACAAACAGCTGCGCCAATTTTCACATTCCATGCCATTTTTTTCGCACACGTCTCATCAACAAAGTCTGGGAAGGCACCATATACAGTGGACCCCCGACATTCGATGGCATCGACATTCGATAAATCCGACATTCGATGCATTTTAACGCAAAAATTTCGCCTTGACATTCGATCGAAAACCCGCTATTCGATATGATTCGTACGAGACGTGTCCACGTGTGGCCTGAACTGCCCCGTGTGTGCCAGTGTTTACAAGCCAGCCAGTGTGCGCGCATCTAAGGATACATTCAGTACATTCCATATTATCCATATTATCAGTGTTTTTGGTGCTTGTTTCTGCAAAATAAGTCACCATGGGCCCCAAGAAAGCTTCTAGTGCCAACCCTGTGGTAAAAAGGATGAGAATTAGTATGGAAATTAAGAAAGATTTTGAAGGGTTTGGGGCTAACCCTGAGAAGCCTATGCCAGTTGTGGAATCCATTGTGCCTACTTCAAAAATTAAGGAAATGTGTGCACAGTGGGTTGAACTGCAAACCTTTATGGATGAAAATCACCCTAACACAGCTATTGCAAGCTGTGCTGGTCACTATTACACTGACAATGTTGTGAACCACTTTAGGAAAGTCATAAAGGAACGAGAGGTACAGGCCTCTATGGACAGATATGTTGTGCGACAGAAGTCCAGTGACTGAAGCTGGTCCTAGTGGCATTAAAAGAAGGGAAGTAACCCCGGAAAAAGACTTGATACCTCAAGTCCTAATGGAAGGGGATTCCCCTTCTAAACACTAACACCATCCACACACATCCCTCCTCCCATCCCATCAATCATCACCAGATCTTCATTAAAGGTAAGTGTCAATTATTCTATTGTTATTAATCTCTTGTTATTAATCTATTGTTAGTGTTGTTATTGTAATTATTCTATTGCATTAAACTTAATATTTCATGTGGTAAAATTTTTTTTTCATACTTTTGGGTGTCTTGGACGGATTAATTTGATTTCCATTATTTCTTATGGGGAAAATTAATTCGACTTTCGATATTTTCGACATTCGATGAGCTCTCAGGAGGGATTAATATCGAATGTCGGGGGTCCACTGTACTGGACTTGGAATTCAGCATTCCTGAATGAGATCTCAGAGGATTTGAGACCTCTGTTGTGAAGGAGATCGTGTCCATGGGCAAGACCGTGGGTCGTGTAGTTGACAGTGACGTCATCGAGGAACTGGTCGATGATCACGAGGAGGAACTGACAATAGATAAACCCGCTGAATTCTAGAATGAGCAGCATCAGGTGCTCACTGAGGAGCAGTCATCGGAGGAAGAAGAAAGGGAGGAGATTCAAAGTGATATGATAAAAGCCATCATAGAAAAATGGAATGAGTGCCAGGATTTCTTTAAGATCCATCCTGACAAAACTGTTGTGAACAGAGTGTTGAACATGATAAATGATAACATTGTCTCTCATTTCCGTAATGTTTTAATGTGAAGGAAAAGACAAGTCACATTAGATCGGTTTATGGTGAAGTTTGTTCCACCAGCTAAACGAGAGAAAGCACCTGAAGGTGAACATCCCTCCATTGCGGAGGTGGACTCTCCCTCAAAACAGTAACATCCTTCCCTCTTCCGTCCTCGCTTCCTTCATGCCAGAAGTCGACTCGTGCAAGTTTAGTTTTCTTGGTTGTTTATGGTTTGTTTTTTCTGTTATTTAGGGTTTTTTCTCTTTTAAACTGCATTATTTTGTATAATTAAAGATATTTCAAACTTTGATTATTTTTTTCTGTGCTTAAAACTGTTTACAGTGAACGGACTTGTGCAACATTAGTTTTCCTCTGTTGTTCAAGGCTCTCTCAGTGTTACTCTAAGTTTTTACATTTACTTTACTATTACACTGTGCATTCTGTGGTATAATTAACTATTTTTGTGCTGAGAAATCATAAAAAAAAAATTATATTTATGTACAGTTTGTAGGGGTCTGGAATGGATTAATTGTATTTATATACAGTCCAATCGGAAAATTAGGTTGGGGTCACGAACAAATCAGGCCGCAACCAGAGTTTTGGAACGAATTATGGTTGTGATCGGAGGTTCCACTGTATTCCACTTCTCTTTGCAAAGAAAACTTTAGTGTCTTTGTTTCAGCACCTGAAAATAAGATTTTGTTCAGAATATCAACCCAGAGGGTTAGCCACCATGGGTAACTGAGTAAAGTCAGTGCATCATTGGGGTCTGTGTCTGATTTCTATTGGAACCATTTTGATCATCCCAGGATGCAACGTACAACAGTCTAACACCCACATTCCTACTTCTAGTTGAGCAGGGGCAGCAGGTGTAAGGAAACATTCCCAATGTTTCACCTGTTCTAGGAATTGGTCTTGGACCTCCAATATGGGAGCTGAGGATGGTACCATCTTTTCTGTTGTGTTCTTTATATGATCTTGTATATCATAATCAAATTCTTTTTTTTCTTATATGATCTGAGAAGTGCATTTTTTATGGCTGTGGTATTATATTTTGAGTTACAGCTTGTTCAGTTTTTTGGTGCATACACAACATTATTAGATTTGGATTGACTGTAACTGAAATAACTTGAGTTTATAATTATAGGTGTATTTCAACATTTTGAATAATCATCTCCACAGGCATGGTGGTGATATGAGCTTTAACCACCAGGTGGTAAATCCATGGGAGGGTGGTGCAATTCCCGATCCTGGTAGTGCAAGAGGTCATTCAGGTTTCATGCCGCCTCATGGAGGAACTGGTGGCAGTCTTTTAGGAGAGTTCAGAGGAAGTTCAGACATAGTGGGGTCCATTAACCACCTCACCCGAATGGGCAACCCTGAATCGAAACTTGCTCTGAATATCCTCAATGCAGTTCTCGCAAAAGTAAGTGAATTACATTTTATGTATTTTTAGAGATTACTCCTCCTTTTGGAAACTAAAGATTACAAAATCTTATTTCTGGAAATATTTGCTCGGTAAAAATCTAAATTTTGGGAAGGTACAGATTCAAAATGTTTTCTGGATTTTTTAGAATTTAAATAGGTTGGACGAGGCAGAGGTTAAAAAATATGATTAGAATAAATAACCCATGAAATGTTACCAGAACATATGCTATTAAAAAATTCTATTAATAGTGAAAGGTTTCATTGAAAAAGTGTCATGATACACTATTTAACGCAGTGGGGAGTGGTACAAGTTGAGAAAAGATGGATGAAATTTGTTTACACAGTTGCATAATAAGTGAGGGTATCATGATTAGTATTATATAAAATTGGATGGGAACGAGCAGAGGCAAGTAGTTTTTATGATTTGATGTGTTGGAGTGTGAGGAAAGTAACATTTAAGATGGGATTTAGAGAATCTGGTTATCCAGACTTGAGCCCTGGAGGTGGAGAGTACAGTGCTTGCACCGTGGAGAAGTGGTGGGGATGTTGCAGTTCATTGGGCCACCTGAGCTGTGATATCAGCAAACTTTAGGCAAGACAGTGATTGAAGGAAAGATGGTGAATATCATAAGTTGAAAGTTTCAAAACTTGCCAAGGGTATACGTATATTTATTCTGATAAATTTTTGAATGTTGCACTGTAGCTCTCTTGTTTATTGTAATGAAATTTGGGTGTGTGCTTATGTAAGTATTTGAACCAGAAACATGTAGATACAAAATTAGCATGGTTCTACATACAGTGTTGAGTGACCAGCTCTTAAAATATAGGTCAAGATGTGAATTTGTATTTAGGCATTTGGAAAATTAGTATGCAGTAAACTTAGTTAAGAAGTAATGAGATCCTCCTCAAGGGAAGTTCCTTTATGCCAATGAAGGGTTCTTGATCCAAGCAATTGGACTTGACTGCCCATTCTTTGGATCAAACCTGATTGTCTCCTGTAACCCCAGGAGGGTGCTGATTGGCCTCATGAATTTAGCACTCTTTCCCAGTGAACGTAATGTTGCTAAGTGTGAGGTTCATTAGCATTCCTCACTTCCTTTGACTTGAACTGCTTCTGGTTGTCTTAGCTTCTGTTGGATGTTGAAGTTCTATTTGTTGTCTTGTTTTTTATTCATGTCTTATTCCCTAGAACATTTTAATGTATTTTAGTTATTTTCATGTACAGCAGGAGACATAACTGGTATAATATTTAGGCTTGTCTTTATCTTTTTCAGAGATGTTCCCTTGTCATGTGATATACTTATCTTTGGTCTACTCTTCCTGATACCCAGTTTAGTTATAGTACTCCCTTTTTCTTTATCTGTGACAAATGCACTCAGGAAGAAGCTTGCTGATGTTGATTTTGTAGACGAACTGGTCTTTTGCTTCACTTAGGTCTTTCATCATCATTGCAGATGCATGTGGTCCCAGTCCCTGGTCCCATTATGTACCTCTGTAATTTTTTAATTACTGCCCAGTCTGCAGATGCTCATGTGTTCATTGCTTACTTGTTTGTAAAGTGTTGATTCAATTCCTGGTTATTATGTTTTTAGAGCAGACTCTTGAAACTTATGCATACACCCAGTGATAGATACTCACCCACCATTAAAATGTGCTTTGTTTGATGATCAATCACTTTGTAATTAGCATTCCTCAAAAGCCACAGAACATCCATAGGGCTGGGGGTACAAACTTAGTGGAAGAGCTAGTGCATACAAGTGATAGAATTGTAAATTGGCCTAGTATCTTGGGCATTTGGGAATGAAACATAACTGGTAGATTGAGTGCACAGATGCTAAGGGAATATAGTACAATCCTCAATATTTTTGCAGGGTTGAACTCTTGGTGGATATTTGTTTGGGGCCTCATGCCATTTCTTAATGTTATCCTCTTGTCTTATACTTTTGGTATGAGTTGCACTAGCAACAATCGGTTGGGACTTATCACTGATCCCTGAAGTGACTTGCAAAGGAATTATCTTTGTAGGAGAAGAAATGCAAAAAAAAAAAAAAAAAAAAAGTCGTACATTAAAAAAAGGATGATAAAGAATATCGTGAAGGTTAATGAAAAATGGCAAACTATCTCTAGAAAGCTGTAAACCTGAGTTGCTTGTAGGGAATGGGAGATAGTGTTAATGGGTAAATAAGAACTTGGTTATATTGATACTGAAAATTAATGATTCAAGGATTTGTTGATGTAAGTGTACAGAAGTAACATGGATGATAAAAACCCTGTAATTTAAATTTTTATGAGATGCAAGTATATGTTCATAAACTGATGTTAGGCTGAGGCCAAAAATAACTGAATACTGCAATTAAATATCAAGCAGAGATTTATCCTTGACCCTATGGAATTTTTAATGAACTGCATGAGCATTATCTGGATATCTTGCCCATGAGTTATATATTATTAACTGTTACTATCATCAATTTTATGAAACTAGGATGAAGGTCGGAGTCACTGGAGTGGTGGTCCCCCTGCTGATAAAAGAAGGCGCATGGATACAGTGAGTAAATTTCACTGAATTTTTATTATTTGTTAGCTTAAAAATATAGTGGGAAATGAAGCCTTTAAAATTATAAAGATTTTGTTTAATGTTATACACATTGGTTTGGTTTTTTATTTTGTTTCATATTGCTCTCGTTCTGCAGAAAGAGAAACTGCTATTGCAAGTAGAATTTTTCTTCACTGATCTACTGGTTAAGCTGAGAAGTTGCTGCCCTTCTTATACATAAAATTCTAATGTTTAACTTTTTTGTCTTTCATTTACTGTAAATAGAAGATTCACAAACATTTGTTTGTGCCTGGTATTTATGGTGTTAATCTTAAGATTTTTTTTTTTTTTTGCATTTAGTAATTACCAGGAAAATGTTGGGAGATGGAAAGGCTTCATCCAAAAATCTTCAAAGCAAACCCAAAAGCATACAAGTTGGTTGTTATAACTGCACTTGGGGCAGAAGTTGAATTGAATACCCTTTACAAGGGGCTGATGTCTCCTGTTTTTCAACTTAAAGTTGTTACTGTAGGAGACACATTCGAATTCATTAAAAAAAAATTGTTTTTAATGGAAGGTTGACAATTGAAAGATCTACATGAACCTTGGGCTTAATATTTCTGGTTTTATTTGGATGTAATTTAATGTGCAGTGCCACTTATGATATCTGCATAAAATCTGTTTTGTAATGGTTGTAGGACATTCTTTGAGCATTAAGTTATCAATTTTGCTTAATGGGCACATTGTCAGTGTTATTGTTTCTTCTACCATTACAGTTTGAGATATTAATGCAATTATTGGTGTAATGTATTATTCGAGGTTACAGTTACCTTCAAGTGTTGAGAGGTAAGGCCTCCTTCCTCTGTTTTTAACTTTTTTGATTTGGCCGTATGCAGGCTTAATTATTAACCATGTTTTTATTGGGGTTCTGTATGGGACTCCCGGTACTGTGGGAAAGGATTCCTGTATTTCAGATCAGCCTCAGGGCATTTAATATGTATGTTGTGGACTGTGAGGCGAGTGTCTCCAACAGGAGGGGGGTTATGATATCCAACGAGGGCAGTATATGCTCCTCAATGCATCATTCTGGCCCACATAGGTTCCTAATCGTGACCATTTCCAAAGTACAGCCCTACGGGCTGGCAACATTCAGTCTCTGCGGACGTGGTAAGGGTGGTCGTTCTTGGCCTAGTGGTCGTCCAAATGATGACACAGAAACACCAGGAGGACAGTGTATGTCATGAGGGGAAAGCCCATCATTTGTAGGGGCCCCCCACCCCATTGCTTAGATCCGATAGAAGATAAGGGGTGAGACAACGTAGCTGCAACTGGTACAGATGGTGGTCAGAAGGAGTTAAAAACTGAGGGTGGTGATTCCTCAGCAACAGCTGACCCTAAACTGTGGTAAGCTCTCTTCCTGAAGTGCTCTTAACACAACTTTAGGACCAGCTCTAGTGTATGGGTCTACTTCAATAATTGGTGGATTTTGTGATGTAGTCTTTAATTTATGACGTTGAGTGCTTTATAGCAGCTAATATGCATACTCTTCATTGATTTACATATTTTTTCTTTAACCCAACTGCTTGTTTAAAGTTGTGTTAACTCACTTTGCTTGTCTGTTGGAGAATCCATAAAATTGATCTAATATTGTTTTTTGTAAAGCTATTTGATCAGTGATTTTCACAAATTGATTAAATCAAAAGTTGGGCTGAAATATTTGGCTGCCTCGGCTTGTCTGTTATATATTATTGGAAGTTATGTAGATGCAATTTAAAGTAAATTTCTTGGTTATAATAATGCTAATATCATTGCATTAAAAAATTAACAGGTTCTAGTCTAAATTTATTAAAAATAAATCTCTGTATATATTCATTATGTACAAAGTGAGAGCACATGTTAAGATGCACAGTGGTTCTCCAAATGTTTCATTGTTCCTTGTAGATGGTTTCTGCTTTGGGGGACCATAGTAATCCCAGCACAATTATTGCACAAATTGCTGCCTCTGATTGAGAAGCTTGTCTCTAACAAGAGGTGATCATAGTTTTTGGAATGGGTAAAACTTTTGAATTGTTTTGAAATAGGGATCTCATGCAGTTCAACAGGTTTAAGAGAGACATGTTTAAATTAGTGTTAAAAATTTGATAGCTACACTATCTGTAACAAGGAAGGCACGTAGTTGTGGAAGGTATGTTGGTAATTTACCTATACTTTGAGAGGAAAACATATTATTGCAGCTTTGCCACTATCTATCCCTAACAGAAGTTTCAGCAAATTCAAGCTTAAAAAATTGAGGTAAATCTTAATTTTACCCTAAGGCATATTGCAAACAACTGTGGTTAATGATAACTTAAGTTAATACATGCATTGAATTTTTAATGTTGCATGACTATATACAACTATTCATATTTTAAAGAGAAAGCACACATGTTCATTAAAAATATTTATTTTGTAAATGTAGTATGTATTAAGGGTTTTATTAAACCTTAAAACTGTCCAAATGTAGATCTACGTTCACGTGTGTAGCGCTCCACGATTGAGGTGTCTACGTTTATGTTTACATTGGAAAACGTAAATTAGATGTAGATCTAAGTTTGGGGAGCGCAAGCAAGTGAACGTAGATATACGTTTGGACAGTTTTAGAAATAATGATTACTGTGAAAAAGAAAAATGCTGATGAGTTTAATTTATTGAATATCGTCTCTCACGAGAAAGGATTTTCATAAGCGTGTGTGTGTGTGTGTGTTTGTGTGTGTAAATATATATATCTATATATATATTATATATATATATATATATATATATATTTTTATATATATATATATTTATATATATATATATATATTTATATATATTATATTTTATTTTATATATATAATATATATATATATATATATATTAGATAGTTTTTTTTTTGTTTTCAACAAGTCGTAATCTCCCACCGATGGCAGGGTGACCCAAAAAAGGAAAGAAAATCCCCAAAAGAAAATACCGTTCTTCATCATTCAACTTTTCCCACACTCTACACATTATCACTGCTTTTGCAGAGGTGCTCAGAATTACAACTGTTCAGAAGCATATACGTATAAAGAATACAAACATATCCTCCAAAACTGCCATTATCCCAAACCCCTCCTTTAGTGCAGGCATTGTTACTTCCATTTCTAACGGTCTCAAGTCCGACTTTATGAAATAACCGGTTTCCATGATCCCTCACTAAAATATTTACATGCTACACTCCAACAGATAGTCAAGGTCCCAAGTACCTTTCGCCTCCATTCACTCCTATCTAATACGCTCATGCTCGCTTGCTGGAAGTCAAGCCCCTAGCACAATACTCCTTTTCCCCCTCATTTCCAACCCTTTCGGAAGAGACCCCTACCCCTCTTCCTTCCCCTATAGGATTTATATTGCTTTACCATGTCATTCTCTTTGATCCATTCTCTCTAAATGTCCAACCACCTCATTCAACCCTCTTTGCCTTGACTAATACTTTTATTACCTCCACACCTTATCCTATGTTCCACACCGAATTTTCTGCATAAATATTTACATCACACATTTCCTTAAACAGGACATCTCATGCCCTCATCCGTTCCTCGATGCTGCATTTAACCAAGCTTCAACACCCATATAAGAGTGTTCTTACTACTATTACTTTCATACATACCCTCTCTTTGCCTCTTAGGATAACGTTTTTTGACTCCACTTATACCTCAACGCCCAACATCACCTTTTTTCCTCTTCTTTTTTTTATGATTACCTCATCCTCATTAATCCAGCCGCCGGACCGTCAACTCCACAAGTTCTGATAACATTCACTTCTTCCATATCCTCCTCCCAGTTTGATATCAAGTTTTCTGTATCTAATCTTTGACACCTCTTCACCTTACTCTTTTCTAGTTCACTTTCAACTTCTACTTTTAAAACAAATTCCCTAAATCATCATACCTTTGCTATTTTTTCTTTAGAATATCCATAAGCCTGTATCATCAGCAAAAAGCAAAACTGAATTCATTTGTATGTGAATTCCCCAAAATTTAATCCCACCCCTCTCCGAACACCCTAGCTTTTACTCCTTTACAACCCATCTATATATAGTTTATACAAAAAATTGTGACATTACACAACCTGTCTAAGACCCTACTTTTACGGGATGTGTCTCCCTCTTCTTATACACTACCTAACCTGGCCTCATACCTCATAACAACTTTTACAGCTTTTATTAATTAACTTACACCTATTCCAAATACAGTGACCCCGGTTATCGATTTGATCCGTGCAAGAGGGCTCATCGTTATGCGTTATTCGTTATGCGAATGAATTTTACCCATAAGAAATAATGGAAATTAAATTATCCGTGCATGACGCCAAAAGTATGAAAAAAAAGTTTTTTTACCACATGAAACTGTTAATTTTAATACTCACCAAACTGAAAAGGCATGCACATTTAAATGACAATTACTTTTTTTTATTGAAGATCTGTTGATGATTGATGGGATGGGAGGAGGGGAGGAGTGTGTTTGTGTTTAGAAGGGGAATCCCCTTCCATTAGGAATTGAGGTAGTAAGTCCTTTTCTGGGGTTACTTTCCCTTCTTCTTTTAATGCCAATTGTGGCAGCTTCAGAGTCACTGGACTTCTTTCGCAAGCTATCTGTCATAGTGGCCTTGTACCTCTCGTTCTTTATGACTTGCTAAAGTGTTTCACAAATTGTCAGTGTATTAATCACCAGCACGTGCTTGCATATAGATGTGTGAGGGTGTTTTTTCATCCATGAGGTTTGCACTTCAAGAATTGCACAGATTTCTTTAGCTTTGGAGTAGGCAAATTACTTCAATTTTCGCTCCCATCACTCCTGAACCAGTTTTACTCAGGTCTGGCTCTTGCTCTGAAGTTGATCTTTCTGCTCATCAGTGGTTAGTTCTTCTTTGTACTCCTCAACAACTCTTCCTACATCCTCCCCACTAACCTCCAACCCCAAGGACTTCCCAATGACACCAAATGGATTCCTCAA